GACGTGGGATTAATTCGGCGGTCCGTTTGGGCCGCTGTTGCTGGGGTTCTGTTAGTTTGCAACTCGCAGAGTCGCGCATCATCGGTCTGCGTCCCTCGCTCGCATCAAGTCTACAACACCACAACCACATCACAAAGCGGCTATCGAGGGATCTCGAGGCACCAGTGTTCCAGAATGCAAGCAATAAAGTGTGTTCTTTCCATGGTAATCGGGCAACATGAGGAGCATGGCTCGCATGTACCAAAAGAAAATACGTTCGCTTTCTGCGAATACAACATGCAGAAGGCGTAGCAAGCAGGCGGATGAGATATGGCGACCAGAGACGAGGTGTACGCGGTTCCGAGGCATCTGTTGGTGACAGAACAAGCGAAGAGCACCGCCCAAGCCTGAGTGGGAGCAAATGACGTATGGGCTTGACACCCAGCGCTTGGGGGGGTGGTACGGAGCGAAGCGGGAGCGGAAGCGGAACCGTCCGGATGAGCGGAGCGCGCATACATACTCATTGGGCAGGAAAACAGGAGCAACTTTTCATCTTTATTTGTTTGCGAAGCTCCAAGGCCAGGGGAATGGGAGGTTATATTGTCCAGCAACATCAACGACATTAGTAAATCAATAAAATCATATACGCTTCAAAGGATATGGGCTGGATCACAAGCTGATTGTATCATGGCTTTTCTTTCGTGATCGGCTTGTATGTGTGTTGCTCGTAGGAGTCGACTTGGTATGCTGTCTGAGGCGTCATCGATGTCTTACTCATGCTCAGATTGTCCAAGTCTCGAGGAAATTAATCTATGCAGAAACAAAATGTGATTGAGGGTGCTTTCTCCAGTGCATCGAGAGCAGCATGGGCAGCCTGATGGTTCCAAACATGTACAGAGAAGGCGCGGTTGATGTACCTGCCCATCTTACCACGAAACTTACCTATGTTCCCGGAACACCCCAGCCTTTCGGTCCGTTCTTTCCATCATTGACCGCAGACCTCGACAGAGAACGAACAGATGGACGAATACAGAAGGACCAGCCCACGGAAATGGACCGGGTAGGCGCCCAAGGCCAGATAGCTTGGGCTCGCTATCTTTGGCCTCGTTGCTTTCGTTTCTCATCTCTTCATAGGTATTCGGGTCTGTTGGCCGCCTCGCTTGGGCAGTTTTTATCTCTCCTGACTTTCGCTATCTCTAGGAGCCCCATCTTCACCCACATCACCCGTATGTCGTAGCACTATCCCGGCACATGCCAGTCGTCAATGGACAGGGCCGCGGGACGACATGAAGAGGAGACTAACTCCGGAGTCGAGTCAAACGGGCCCCATTTCTTCGCGGCTGGAGCCCAGGGTTGACGACAAGTCGAGCAGCTAGTCGTTTGCCCGAGTTGAGGGCAGCTCTCCGCGTCCATCCAAACTCCGCCGCCGGGGATCAAGGATTGTCTCGGCTCTCAAGTCTTTGACCAACAGTAGTAGGTGCTCTCTTTTCATGTCCTTAGTGCATCCACAGCTGGTTCCTGACTATCCAAGCTTCCGATAGATCCGTCATTGAGCACCACGGCTCCATTCTTCTATCGCAAGTGACCCCCAGTACCAAGTCGCTCTTTGCACAGGGGTTGAGCAAGATGTCGAACGCCTTGCTCCGGTCTCCGGCTGAGCCCACAGTCATCCATCGAACGACAACCAGAGGCCGACCGCCGCTGCAGCACACTTTTGAGGCTGTGGGCACTAGGGAAATCCACAAAGACCGGGAGAGGTCGTTCAACTTCAAGAGTTCCAACACCGAGTCCAGCAAGAACAGCAACAGCAACAGTAACAGCAATTCAGGAAAAACACCCAATGACTCGACCGGCCTGACTTCGTTGGAATCCAAGTCCAAGGCCTCTTCCTCCGGCAACGTCCACAAGAACACCAATACCGGATCGTCTGAACGAAAGCATCTCAACGTCTTGAACGGCAACAGCAGCAACGCGAACCGCCGCAACCCCAATGCACGCTCCAGCCCAGATAGCAACCTAACAACGATTCAGGAAACAGTGCTTGACCAAGCCTCGCCCAGCGTCCTCACCGTGGAACGCGCGGCAGCCGCCAAGGTCTTTTTAGAGACTTATTATGACGAGCTGCTGGCCCCTGGTCCCAGCCCGCGGTCTATGCGGCTTCGCTTGCGTATTGCGGATTTTTACTGTAACTATGGCGAACTGGACGGCATGTCCACTGCAGAGTTGAACGCGCAGTTCCACCGCCGTGAGAGCAACCATCTCCGGGAAATACGCGTGATGAAGTCAAGAAGCATCCGTGCCTTGTCTGCACCTCGAGGCTCCCCCGAGGCCTGCTTGGTGAACGATTACGAGGTGGTGAAGATCCTCGGCAAAGGAAGTTTTGGTGTTGTGAGACTTGTCCGCGAGAAGCCTCGGAGAGCGGATGAGCATGAAGGCAACGGCTGGTCAGATGGAGAAAAGAAACAGGTGTATGCCATGAAGGTGATCCGCAAGTCGGACATGCTGCGCACAAGTCAAGAAGGACATTTGCGAGCAGAGAGAGATTTTCTGATTGCCTCCGAGGGCTCGAGATGGTATGTTTACTTGTAACCCCACTTTTCTTTTCTTGCCAAGGGATGCTACCGGGTCTCTGACACGGCTGGGTAGGATCGTGCCGCTCATTGCCAGTTTTGAAGATGCTACAAACCTGTATCTGGTGATGGACTACATGCCTGGAGGAGATTTCCTCGGTCTCCTGATCCGGGAGAACACGTTGCATGAGTCGGTAGCACGATTTTACGTGGCTGAGATGATCGTATGCGTCGAGGCAGCCCACGCTCTCAAGTGTATCCATCGCGACATCAAGCCAGACAATTTTCTTATCTCGGCGTCGGGCCATCTCAAGATCAGTGACTTTGGCCTGGCCTTTGACGGCCACTGGTCACACGACACGGCATATTTCAACAGTCACCGCTACAGCCTATTGAACAAGCTTGGCATCAATGTCGATGGCGACGAGCAGGACAAGACCGAAAGCCGCAGCCTCCAGGCCACCATCAAGTGGACAAGCGGCATCATGACGGGCATCGAGAAGCATGACAAGAAGGACCTTGGTGACGGGGAACCATTGCTCCAATGGAGAAATCGATGTGGAAACCGCACTTCTGCCATGAGTGTTATTGGCACAAGCCAGTACATGGCCCCCGAGGTGATCGAAGGCAAGAAGTACGATGCAAGATGCGACTAGTGGAGCATAGGTATTATCCTGTACGAGTGCCTGTATGGCCACACACCCTTCTTAGCTGAGGAGGGCAGACAGATGACGAAGCAAAACATTTTGGTAAGTCTGTCGTATGGTCATGAACTTGAGAACAGGCTACTCACACACACCGTCAACCACAGAGACACAAGGAGACATTTGGTTTCCCAGCTCGGCCGCCTGTCTCTCATCGATGCCAGCACCTGATTGCCTCGCTCATTCAAGACAAGGAAAATCGACTATGCTCCAAACGCTACCACTTCAAGGACCTTATTTCCTCATCGCCATCGGGCAAGCTCGCGACAAGCTCAAGCACAAACAGCCTCAATTCCCACGCCCACGCCCACCCCCACGACCGCTCTACGGGCCCAAAGATGCTTGGGGGGCCCCACAACTTTGCCGGCCGCTATGTATTCCCCTATGACGCCGAGGACATCAAGGCGCATAGGTGGTTCAGGGGCATCCCGTGGGACCGATTGCACGAACTCGAGCCGCCACACGTGCCTCAACTCTGCGCCGTCGACGACACACACTACTTTGACGAGGAGGACGAGATCAGCGACTGGAGTGAGAGCGAGACATCAGCCTCAGAGCAGAAGGCCGACCAAGAGAGCACGCTGAACGACAGCCCTGGAATTCTCTCCTCTGACTTGCAGAGCGCCCACCTCAGCGAGGCTCCCTTCCTATCCAAGGCACCAGATGCCACCTTCCCGGGTCTTCGTCCGCGCAAAGCAGAGGAGGCGCGAATAGCGCTCAGGGGGTTTCGCCGCAGCGTACAGAAATGGGCCGTGGCCGCCATTGCTGCACCTTATGACTCAACTCGGCTCCGCAACATGGATGCCCAGATCGATGGGTTGCCTGGCCTGACTCCGGCCGAGCGCTCCGCACTGCGGCACTTTATCCGTGCCTTTGGACGCAAGGACCGCAAGCGACCGAGAGATCGGCTGCTGCGGGATCGGCACACGCGAGGGGTCGTCATGGAGGTGCGCAAGAAGACGGCTTTTCTGGGGTACACGTGGCGACGCATGCGGCCTCTGGATCTGGACGAGGCGCGCCTTGACGGGGGAATGGCCGTTGGAGATGGGACTGGGGATTACGGGAAGGACGTTCAGAGGGGTGACGAGCAAGATATCTGGGGAGGGGTGAGGGATGGGCATGGGAATGGACACCCATACGGGCATGGCCATCCACACGGGCATGGGCATGGACATGAACAATTGGGAGACGATATCGCTGTGCTGAGGTCGTTGCAGAGGGGGAAGATGAGTTTGCGCTGAGTTGACCTGGCAATCACGGGTGAGGTTGGGTGTACCGGTATATGGATATCTCGAGGGGTTTTCTCTCTTTTGCTGGTCTTGTGATTGAGGGCAGGGGAAGGGGGTGGCTCGGAGAGTGAGTGAGTGAGTGTCTGTTTCTCTGTCTGTCTGCCTGTCTGTCCCATGGGAGCGACGAGGTCATGGGAATATCCAAGCTGGAATAGAGGTTAGAGAGTATTACGTAGCATTATGAACCTGCATCAACAGAATGAGAGAGTTTATCGCGGCCTCGACATTCTCCTGAAAGAAAGTACCTCATACGTACCTGACGTGCAAGTACCCATCTTCCGTAGGTAGGTATTCTAATTAACTTGGCTGGTGTTGGTTGACTCCACCGCACCCGAGTCAAGACCTGAAGTGAAGATCCACCGTGATGTGGTACCTCCTCCACTTTCTCCCAGCGATGGTAGGTCGGTTTCCTTACAAGGGATGGATACTCGAGCAGAGTCTTCATCGAATAACATCTTGGTCAGATGGCCGAGCGGTCTAAGGCGCCAGCTTCAGGTTCTCCTGTTTGAATTTATCTAGCTTCCTCTCCTCTTCTGAGGAGGAGTGCAGTAATATGCTGGTCTAGTAATAGGCGTGGGTTCGAATCCCACTCTGATCATTCACTTTTGCTTATCATCCCTCCACTTCCCCTACATAATAGAATGAAGGAGGGGATAATGGATGGTTGTTTTCTTTTTGGTGGGTTGGTTGTGTTGAGTTTCGCTGGAGTGGTTGGTTGGTGTTTTCCTAATTTGCTGTGGTTGGTGTTTTGCTGTGTCGGTTGATACTTTCCAGGTTGTTTATTTGGTTGGATACAAAGTTTTGGACGAGAGACCAGGGGTTATTTGTATTTCGGGGGAGTATTTTGGGCGGCGTTGTTTGCTTGCTTGTTCGCGAGTTGACTGGCGCTGAGGGGGATTGGGGTCGATGTGTAGCTTTTGATTCAGTGGCAATGCTGCCTTGGATTGTGAATCTTTTGTCATTATGGTTGAGTCTATGTATGTGAAATTATTAAGGTAGCTAATTAGATAATAGGAGTAGATCAAGTACAGCAAGTGACTTCTGAATGATCTCTCCAGGGGGTATATTCCTCGTCTCGTCCCGCCGCCCCCCTAATACAGGGCATCGTCGCCATTACCTCCTTCCTCTCCAACACCATCTTCTTCCCCCCTATGGCCACCACCAGCAATAGCCCGCGCATTCCGCACCTCCCAGCCAAACTCCTTCAACGCCCTCGCCTCCGCCCCGTTGAAGAACAGCAACGCCATCAGCCCATCCACCGTCCCAGCCGCCAGCCCGAGACTGCTCACCAGCATCAGCAGGAACGCGACAAAATTCCGCGGGCTGAACCACACGGCCACGTAGCAGCCGATGGTGACGAGCACCCAGAGAAAAAGGTGCCGTGTGCGCCACGTGGTCTGGGCGCGCTCGCGGCGGGTGTATTGGGCGAGGTTGGCGAGGATCGCGTCGTAGGTCTGCAGGGGAAGTGAAGGGGGCTGATGCGGGGAGGTGATGCTGGGTTTGGGCGAGGATGGGATGGGGAGGGAGTGGAAGGAGCTGGTTGTTGGGGACTGGAGGTAGGTGCCGGCTTTGATCTCGAGGGTTTCTTTGGTTTCGGCGGTGCCTGTGGAGGTTTCTTTTTCCTTTTCCGGGTTTGGTTTGGCGGTGGTGGTGGCCGTGGCTAGTTGGGATGATACGGGGATCACTGGGCTTTCGATGACCGCCGCCGCGGTAGTGGTGCTGCTGCTGCTTGTGGTGCTGGGCTGGAATGCGAGCGTGGCTTCGACGGCGAAGTGGTCGCTGAGAGAGCAGCCGAGCTCGGGATGGCGCATCATCATGCCCACGCGCGCGCGGCGGACAGTCCAGCTGCCGCCGAGGGCGGGGAGGGTGCCGGGCCCGGCAAAGATGTAGTCCAACCGCTTGCCTTTGTGGTCGAGAGTATCAGGCGGGACCGTCACCTCGGGCTTCCCCTGTCCTAGTTGTTTCTGCTGCGCGGGCGCCCATCGCCATGTGTTGGTAGGGCCATCTGACGCAGCCCCGTTCTCGAGAATGTTAAACTCGGCCGTGGGGATGGGGCGGTGACGGGCCTGCTCGGCTGGGTGATGGGCTGGGCCGACGGCGCTGTCGGGGTGCAGAACCCGCCATGTGTCGCGGACGGGGGCCAGAGACGTGATGATGCGATGCTCCAACGAGGACGGGATCATGTTGAAGTCGCCCATGGCAAGCACCAGATGGCCGCGCTCGACAGCGCCGCGGAGCAGCTTGGCCACCTCCCAGGCCTGGGCGGTGCGGTGGCATTGGTACGAGTCGTCGGGCCCATGCTCATAGGGCGCATGCGTGTGCGTGTTGAAGACCTCGACGATGTGCTTGGGCCCGGGGCCGTAGCGGATGCGGGCGCAGGCCACGCCCTTGCCGACGAACCAGTCGCCGCGGAAGAAGGCTGTGGGCCGGCCGTTGAGCGGGTACCGGAACATGGTGCTCTCCTCGATGGGCCACCGCGACAGGATGGCCAGGCCACCGCCAAAGGGCCCGCTGTGGTAGAACTTGCCATACGGCAGGATGAAGCGCGTCTGGTGCCGGATGCTCCGGTAGTCCTCTTGGGTCCAGCACTCTTGCAGGGCCACGATGTGCGGCTGCGGGTCGGCCAGGGCCAGCTGCCGCCCGATCTCGGTCATGCGCTCGCGCCGCAGCTTGGAGATGTACTTGAGTCCCCAGCAGTTGAGCGTCACGAGCGAGATCTCGGTCGGTAATGATTCCTCCATCTTCGTCTATTGATCTGGGGTGGTGGTGGTGCTTTGTGAGAAGGATGTGAAGAAAAAATATGACTTTGATGTTGAATTGAAGTTATTCGATGGTTCAAGTATTTCCAAGAATTCAAGTACAGAGATTGACCACGCAACGCCGCTGGTGAGAGTGGTGAGATGTCTCGAGAGATGCTGTGCTTTGGTGGTGTAATGTTTAGTGTTACACTGGATTACCAGGTACGCGCCAACCTGCAAGGTACCTTTCAGGTCATGGATGGTTTATCACAGTAATTCCCAGCGACACGGCGGGAGTGGCGTATTTGAATGGCAGCCATTCACGAATGCTAATTTATTGGCTTGCAGAAACCAGTTTAATCCTCCAGAACGAAGTCACTAAAGTGACCGTGTGCCTATAATATGACCGTGTCTAACCAGATCAGGCGCAACCCGCATTCTTGACCTCGCGTATTCTCGATGCTGTGTTACAGATGTAGTTACTATGTGTATTGGGATGAAAAAGCCCTGGGCGACTTTTATACCGTACTTTACGGTTTTCTCAGCCACTGTCGTAGCTTAGACCTACATCAAAGGATTGATTCAACTTCAACATAAACGGAAGGACCAGAAGATATACGAGGTCTGCACAGACCACCAACGTCTGGCAGCTCCTTCCCCACGAAACGGTCACACTATAGAGGCACACGGTCACTTTAGTGGCCTCGCTCCAGAAAAACCGACCTTGATGCATAAGGTACGCTAATGAACGGGAAAGGAAAGCTCCTGCCATGTGAATCTCTGGGTGGTTCAACAGGGACTTGCGGGCGCAGCCGAACGAATTCATGGAGCAGTGGGGGGGATCTGCAATTGACCAATGAACCAATCAGCGCGTCTGGACACCCACAGTCCACCGACCCCAGAGTTTGTCTTGGTATTTTTAGCGCAGCAGCTTGCAAACGCGGTACGCGGTCAAGCTGGACCGACCTGGAAGTGCCTGCCTGGCTCAGGTACATCAATTAATTATTATTAGCCACAACAGCCCAGCAAAGTCAACCACCGACCCCAAGACCTGGAATCTCGCAACCTTGATTGACTTTCCATTCCAGCTTTGGCATCCATGCACTCGTATTTTACTAGTCATCACCACTTACTGGCATCAATAAGCCATGCCTGAACCCGCCCCGGCAGCTCCCACCGGACCCCCCTCCAAACGGCGCCGAGTGCACGACGACAGCATCAGCTCGACACCACAGTACGGCTCGCCCAACCCGGACCCCCTCCCCAAACACAGCCTCTCGATACGGCGGAGCCGACCGACCGACAGCCGTTCGCGCAGCCGAAGCAGGAGTCCCCGCGCCAGCGCCGACGCCGACGGCGACGCCTCCAAAATGTCCCGATACCGCTCTCTCTCCCCCTCGGGCTCACGCTCCCGATCCCGCTCCCGCTCCCGCTCCCGCTCCCGCTCCCGCTCCCGCTCCTACACCAACTCGCGCACGCCGTCTCCGCGATCACGCTCACGGTCTCGCTCCCCGCTGCGATCCAGCTCGAGTCCCAGCGCCAGCACACGCAGCCGCTCCCGCTCGGCCACGTCCTCCTCCCGTCGCAGCACCCGCTCAACACAGCACCGCCGGCCCTCCAAACAAACCGCCGCACAAGGCCCGTCCTCCCTGCCCCAGACGCTCCGGCCCCGCTACCGCCCCCGCCTCGAACTCCGCGGGCACAAGGCTGCCATCAGCCAGGTGCGCATCTCTCCCGACGGGCGGTGGGTCGCGTCTGCGTCGGCCGACGGCAGCGTCAAGATCTGGGACGCCGACACGGGCGCCCACCTTGACACGCTGGTCGGACACATGGCGGGCGTGTCGTGCCTGGCCTGGGCACCCGACAGCGACACGCTAGCGACAGGGTCCGACGACAAGGCCATCCGGCTGTGGGACCGCGTGACGGCCAGCCCGCCCCACGCCTGCGGCGACGCCGCCGTGCGCAGCCACCGCGTGCTCTCGGGGGGCACCGTGTCCGCCGCCGCCGCGCGGCCGCGGAATAATGCGCGGGGCGGCGGCGGCGTCGATGCGGCGGCCAAGCCGAGGGGCCGCGGTCCGCTGCTGGGCCACCACAACTACGTCTACTGTCTGGCCTTCTCGCCCAAGGGGAATATCCTGGCCAGCGGGAGCTACGACGAGGCTGTGTTCCTGTGGGACGTGCGGGCGGGCAGGCTCATGCGCAGCTTGCCGGCCCACAGCGATCCTGTTAGCGGGATCGACTTTTGCAGGGACGGCACGCTGGTGGTGAGCTGTTCCACCGACGGGCTGATGTAGGTGCCGCCCTTCTCTTCTCTTCTTGGTCGTTTTCCATTGCTGACACATAATCAAGTCGAGTGTGGGATACCTCGACGGGGCAGTGTCTGCGCACGCTGGTGCACGAGGACAATCCGGCCGTGACCAACGTCTGCTTCAGCCCCAACGGCCGCTTCGTGCTAGCCTTCAGCCTCGACAACTCCATCCGCCTGTGGGACTACGTGACGGGCTCGGTCAAGAAGACATACCAGGGCCACAAGAACAGCGGCTTCTCCATCGGCGGAAGCTTCGGGCTGGTCACGGAAACAATCGACGGGGCCATCGACGAGGAGGATGAGGAAGAGGACCAGAGCAGGGGCACCAGCACGCGGACGCAGGCGTTTATAGCGTCGCCGAGCGAGGATGGCGATATTGTCATGTGGGATGTCTGCAGCAAGGCCATCGTGCAGCGGATCACGGGAGCGCACAAGGGCGTGTGTTTCTGGGTCGATGTGCATGGCAACACAATGGTGAGCTCGGGGCAGGATCAAGTCATCCGGGTCTACAGGCATACGCCAGTGGTCGTGGGGCGAGATGGCATGGCGGAG